CCTATTTTACATATATTGTATGTGGTTTTGTGAGTATGGTAAGGAGTTGCTGGTTTAGATTAACATTTGTAGATTTTAATTTTTGTGCCTAGAGGAGAGGACAGAGGTGGAGTTTGTTTATTGTATTCCCTGATTAAGGTGATTTTCTGTAGTTCATAGATAAATAACATTTTATAACTTCAGTTAATCAAATATTGTTACTTCTTATCGTCTTCTAGGAATTTTGAATGCGTTGGTGACTGGAGTTCCACTTTAGACTCTCTAGATGGAACGAAAGAGGGACACATTCTTCTCCCATAAACACACCATTCGGCGCTTGCGGAACTCAACTTCACGAGATATGATATTTTCAGCCCTGGATGAAATCTTGGATCCGACACTGGTGCTCAGCGATTAGCTGTTACTTTTGCTTATCAATTAGCAAACATTAGGTAAAAGCAAATTATCTTATATGTTTTTGTTTTACTTTTTAAGTCTAAAGCTACACAATGCACTGTACGTACTGGTCCCACCAGATTTTTAGCGTTATAAATAGTAAAACTTACTGCTGAGCCAGATGGGTGCCAGCCGATCACTTTTCTAACTCGGTTAGAAAGTTTTTAAGAAGGGTTTGTCTATTGAATGTTGACTTGTACAACTTTACAAGCATGCAAAGTTTTAAAGATAAATATTAATGTGAGTATTGGCATTTGTTTAAATATAGTAAAATGCAAAACGTAAGATTATTTAGTAAAGATTTGGTAAAAATACTAAATAACAAGATGTGATATACATGAGAGGAAACTACACAAGATAAAATTTCAGTTTTTGTAAGATATTATAAATATATATTTTAAGAATTTTTCATAGTTTATATGAACTCTTAATTATTATAATGAAGGTGGCGCTGGTAATTATTTGAGTATTATGAATTTGTAAATATTATTAAATAACAGACGATTCGAAGAAAAGTATGTTAAAATAGATATTAGTTTTCACATATTAGAATTAGTTTTGTTACGAGACGTTTAATACTAAGATAGTTGACTGGAAATATATAACCAGCAAATAATTTTATCTAAAACAATTTTGGTGCATTTTTGCCATTAGTAACACTCCGCATATAATAAAATTAAAAAACTAAAAAATCAGCAAAATGACAAAACGTCAGTCACTATCAGTATAACTATTACTATTAGTAGTATTACTAATATATTATTCTTAAATTTTGAATAACGTTTACTTCATTACGCATTCAAACTTTTTTGTCTCAAACTGAGTCAGTGTGGGTTTTTAAGGGCTCAATCCCCATTCTAACATTTTGCTTATGTTTACCATATGTAAAAAACCTTGCTGTTAGTTTTGATATTGTGGGCTACCTATTTCTCATAAGTCATATTGAATTTTTGTAATCCAAATCATACCTGTACTTTTGTAAGTCTTCTGTCCTATATGTTAATTTAAGCTTCTTTAGCTTATGTCATTTATCACTGATTATCGATATTATGTATATATTAAGTCAGTTAGGTTTCATTTTCCCTGTTATTCTTTTGATCTTTTTTTTTTTCAGGAACAACATGTCTATCTTGAATTATAAGCAGCTCTTTCACTAACTTGAAGAAACAGGAAGTCCAGAACTTCCACGGTATCAGTTTTGTAAGTCCTATTTAAGAACTTCAACATATTAGAACCCTGTACTGTATGCTACACACCGTGGTAACTGTGGAATTTTGTCACATTGCATGTTTCAAACCAGGTCATTTAAATTTGATATCTATTTACTGTTTATTATGTTTAGTTTTACTCAGGACACCTCTGAGAAGCGTTAAGAATGTTGCTAATGTATTCTGGATGTTACAATAATAACTGAACAAATGTACAATATCTTGCTATGTCAGTGGTATAGATTGACTAGCAAAGGTCACCAGTTACTTTTGTGACCATTACAAGGATATATGAGGCAAAATTTAATTGATAAGTGGCATAGCAATAAAATAGGGTTGGTCAGAAACTGAAAAAAAAAAAGTTTTTTTGGATCTTTTCTACGTATGGGATCAAAATGTTTCATAAGTCTGCCCCACACATAAAATATTAACTCATTGTCCTAATTCCTTAATAATACATCTTCTTTCCTATCCTTAAAATTGGCTTCCTGAAAATTAGGAGCTATAATTTCATTTATTTTCATCTCAACATGTAGCAAAACCTTGAACCTAATTCTTGGTAATTCTTCCCCAAATGTTTTCCTACTTGTAGTCATATCCTCAGTAAATCTAAAATGGACCTCTCCCCCGGTTTACTCTCTGACCATTTGGTATCAAAAATTGTCATGAATCACTTCAAGACATTTCTCCCCCTAATTATTTGACTCCACAAAATTCAGTTAATGTATCTAAAATTGAAGTCTCTCAGAGTTATTGCTTCATTATGCTTACCAGTAGCACTCTGATGTCATTTACTACCTTAAAATCCCCTATTTTAATCCACATAGATTCAACATCACAATTAACATTTTATGCCTTCAATCTTAACAGGCTGTAGTTCATCCCATATATAAAAGGTTCCAAAGATGGTTTAAATGTAACATTCCTGGTTCAACAAGTTGGCTGTCTAGTAAGCTTTCTGGAGAACATCAACAGCAAGAATTAATTTCATATTGAGATTTTAATTTAAACTTTATAAAGCACTTGTTGGAGCTGTTAAGTTTTTTTTTTGTAAGTTATGGATACTAACTCAAGTTTTTTTTAAATCTTTTGTAATCATGATTCAGAAGTTCCAAATTTTTTTGGAATAGAATGTTTGCTTTAGAAGAAGATAAATAATCCATAAAATAAATTCTCATTCATGGTATTTCTCAGTTAATAATAATTTACAGCATTTATTGAAAACACACAATTGTTATATTTCTCTGCCCTGTTATATAATACAGGATATAATGGTACTAATGAAAGGACATTCATTGACTTGATAAATTAGGTAATCAAAATGTTTTTAAGTTTGTAAACTTATGTGAGCAAAAAAAAAACTAAAAAATGTTAATACACACCATAAATGTACAGAATATTTATTGGGACATGATGATGATCATCATGTAATTCACACATTTATATCTTAATATAAACATGCAAATTTACTGAAATAACTGAATGTAAGCATCAAACAAAAACAAGTGTCTTTATTGGTCCTGTAATAGACAATACTAAAAATTTACGACAGGAACTTAAATGTGCCTGAAATGCTTTAATTTAATACTATTTTAAAGTCATATTGTGGTATCATAGCAACATGCTGTCTTCCTTTTCACGATTGATTGTTGTCATATCACAAGGTATTACCACCATTTATACAGTGCTATACTAAATATACTTTTCATTTGAGGACTGAATTCAAAGTATGTTACTAACTGCGATGTTGTTCTCGTTCCCGTGAGTCTGGCCATCTTTAAATACATATTGATGTATGAACAGGACTTGTCAATGCTATAAAGGAGTTTCTTTTTTTACAGGTAGTCCTCTATCAGAGATGTGTTTAACTCTCAGCTGTGATGGGTTAGTTGCACTCTTGCCTATATGGCCACTCTTGTAGTTAGGGTTTGTGACAATACCATTCCTTCGTACTCGTGGCTCTGCGGGACGTCTGAAAGCTGCCACGGGTTGGGCACTGCCTAATATAGGAACACCAGAACTTGGAAGTCTAGTACTCCCAACGGTCTCTTCAACTAGGGGGTTTATTAACACGGGTACATGGGCAGTGCTGGGGACATTCGCATCTTGAAGGCTGGTCATTTGAACCGGAGAAACTCTTTGGCCCTGGACGTCACTGAGTGGAGACTGTGGAGGGCTTGGAACTGGGCTTTGGGGTTCGCTGAGTGGAGACAGCACACGACTAACTCTGTTCCGATTTCTTGTACACTGCTGGAGTTGTTGAGTAAACGTAAGAACAGGAGGGGTCCACACTGAGCGGATGTCTACAGCCTGGTGTGAGGACTTGTTGGTTGAGCTTGTCAAATTACTGGATGACTTGGATGATGACTGGTTTGAAATAAATGAACGCCGCTTATCAACTGTGGATTCGGGTGATTCTAGTATCCCAGGCTGACAAAGAATGGCACTGCAAGGCTTAGTCTCAGCTGTAGATGCTGACGTAAGAGAGGTAGTGCTGGTGGAACACTGTCGGTGACTAGAAGGTCCATGGTGGGCTATGTGCTCTTCTAGAATTCTAACCACGTGACTGTGCCCACCTTTCAAGGCCACCCGAAGTGGGTTTCTTCCAAACTGATCAGCATGGTTAGAGTTGGCTCCATGCTCCAGTAATAAACGAACAACAGTATCGTGACCTTCTTGAGCTGCTATACAGAGAGCAGTAGCACCCTGATTGCAAGTATGATCTATATCTGCTTGTCGCTCAAGGAGTAATCTTACTATGGTGCTGTGGCCTTGCCATGCCGCCGACTGAAGGGCAGTTCGACGGTCATTGTCGACCGCATTGACATTTGCTCCGTAGTTCAGGAGGGCCTCAACCATTTCATAATGACCTTGCCACGCTGAAACGTGCAGAGGGCTTCGTCCTTCCAAGTCTGTAGCCTCTACATCGGCACCATTTGTTAGGAACAGCATTGCCATATCTAAGCGATTTTCTAAAGCTAGAAGATAGAGAGTTGACCGTCCATCAGCATCTTTGTAGTTTAAATCGGAGCCTCTGCTTAGTAGCATGTGAACCTAAAATTGAAGAACAACAGGTAAGATATCTAACTCAGCAGTACATAAAATTAGAAATAGAGCTCAAACAAGTTTACCATTTGAGAATTTATTCAGATACACCATGTCAAAAATGGCATTTGCAAGACTAATCCATTACTGTAGCTTATTGATAACTTTACACGTTAAGTTAGTCTACGTAGTGTATATGTATTTGATTTTGTTTAGTAATAAGTTCCACACTCTTCTCTTTAAGAGGAAAGGGTTTTCATTGTCTCAAGAATTGTCATCAGATACACCAAAAAATAAAACTTGATATACCGAAAGCTTCCTTATTATATTAATACGTGTTGACCAGATGCTATTTTGTAATAAAAGCAGGTAACTTCACTATCAAATGTAATTAGGACTTTAATCTCCAATTCAGCTCTTCTATTGAAGTTTAACATAAATTGTTATATAAAATTCTAGTGGAAAACTAATTAAAAACTAAGGTACAACTTATTGTTCATCAGTAATAAAGATACCCTACCTTATATTTTTATCATATTGAAGGACAGTATTCTGCAAGTCAGTAAACTATAAAGGATAGGTTAATTCTATCAGTATTGGAAAAAAACAAAATATATATATATATAAAAGTATACAACAGTTTACTTTGTCAGCACCTTCAAGGTTAGTGATCTTGTATAGTTACTGCCGCTAATACTCTAATTCCAAAGGATACAAAATGACACAGATCTGTAAAAGTTGCCTAATCAAGAAGAATACAAGTTATATAACTACTGTCATCTTAAAACCATTAAGGCACAGTCTTCAGCAGAACTAACTACACGTGTGGTATCATCCAAACTACCGAAGACATGGACACAACATTGTAAGTTCATGGTTACTTCACATTCCCTTTGAACGTGCGCTACATGATCGCTAACATGGGATGGTTCATAATTCATGGAACATTGACAGGATAAATGTTTTAGACTGAGGTATACTGTTTGGCCACCAGAAGGTTAATGTAGAAAAGTACAACAGTGTACTGGGTTAATTCAGCTGTATGGTAAATACATTAACTGTACCAAAACAGTTACTTGTTTTGTTTGGAAGCATCCTGAAAACGTACAATTCAAAAATCAACAGTATATATAAGTGGAACTATGTCTTCAGACTCAAACTGTAGTAACTGATATTTTGTGAATTACTCTGTATTCTGTTTCCCTACAGTTTGCTTTTTCTTATCTAATTTTAGGTTTGTTTGTGAATTCAACTACACTTAATGGTAGATTTTATATTTATAATTAAACTAATAATACATTTATAGTTTGCTGACAAATTACCTATGTTAAATTTCTGTCTGTGCTTTGCTAAAAGACAATTATAACTACATGACTTACTTAAAGAAAAAGATAAAATAGTTTGTGTTTTTTTTTATCTAAGCTCACCGTATCTCTGGTGTTTTTTTTTTTATCTAAGCTCACCGTATCTCTGGTGTTTTTTTTTTTTTTTTTTTAACCCCACCTTTCCTCTGGTTT